TTTGGTTTTGTTTTGTTTTGTTTTTGTTTCACCTTAATTCTTATTTGTAGCTAGCACTTTGGCTTAAAGTTGAATAGTAAATCTTTTGCTATTTTTCTTTTGCTGTTTAAAACTCTCCATAGACACAATTTTTTCTTTTAATGCATGCTAATATATTTTGCATGGTCTTTAATTTAATATCATTCACATAGCTTTGAGGGTTTATCAGAAATTATTCTTTTCAATATTCACTATTCAAAATCTTTATCTCCTTTATTCATTTGTGAGAGTGTTGATTTTGAATGAGTGATCTTGTTGCTGTCTGAATGTTCCATTGATATGTCAGAATATATTACTTAGGTGACTGGATTTAAAATGAACTTTTTCTTTTGGGTTACCTTTGACTTTGAAAAGGTGTTTATGGTGATGTGCAGCGTGTGAAGATTTTGTACAATAAGAAAGACAGTGCTCTTATACAGATGGCTGATGGAAACCAGTCGCAACTAGGTAAGATTAGTTTTCTCTTCATATTCCCCTTGGGCTAAGTACTTGAAATTATGCTGTGTAAAATCAGGTGAACCTAAGCATGTTTACGTTTGTCAGTTTGTCTTGTATCCTGGTTACCCACAAGATGCAAAATCTTACTCCATCCACTTGTATTCCAGAAGGTCTGCACAATATCCTAAATTAATTCAGGAGCTGAATCATGTGATGATCTTTAAATAAAATAAAGTACACGTGTGGATTCTGCAGACCTAGTTCTTGATTCCAGTCTTTTAGAACATTGACCCTTTGATTTGCCTGGGTTTTTTTGTATGCTGCGTTATGTGTGATGTACCACAAGCTATTGCAAAGTAACAATGAACTGGGTAAACCTCTTATCTTTTTCAGCCATGAGCCATCTTAATGGACAAAAAATGTATGGAAAGATTATTCGGGTTACCCTTTCTAAACATCAGACAGTACAACTACCTCGAGAGGGACTTGATGATCAAGGGCTGACAAAAGATTTTGGTAATTCGCCTCTGCATCGCTTCAAGAAGCCTGGTTCAAAAAACTTTCAAAATATATTCCCGCCTTCTGCAACACTTCATCTGTCCAATATCCCGTAAGTGTTGGCAGTCAGTAAGCCAGTAGTATTAATGGGAATCACAGCACACTGAATTGACTAACAATTTCTTGCTTCTGCTTGTTTTCTTTCTGTCTCTAGCCCATCAGTAGCAGAAGAGGATCTACGCACATTGTTTGCTAACACTGGTGGCACTGTGAAAGCATTTAAATTTTTTCAGTAAGTAATTTTTCTGTACATAGCTTTAGCAAAAGACTGCCTAAGTGCATTTTTGCAGCATGTCTTAAGGAAAAGTACATAGAGGATAGCAAAAGTGAGGAGCAACCCCTGTAGTGTTCAAGTTCCTAATGCCGTTATTTTGTTTCAGAAGAGATCACAAGATGGCCCTTCTTCAGATGTCAACAGTAGAAGAAGCTATTCAGGCTTTGATTGATCTTCACAATTACAATCTTGGAGAAAATCATCATCTGAGAGTTTCTTTCTCTAAGTCAACTATTTAAAAAGGCAGATTGAAAATGAGGGTGTATTGCGTTGTTTGGTGTTGTCACCTATTGACTGTTCAGGAAAGTGGGGACCAGAGTTTGTCTTCTATTGTTTTTTTTCTAATTATTTTTTTTTT